GTTATGGCCCTTTAGATTTTCCAATAAGATCAAGAATGCCCAGTTCTCAGATACTTTGGAGGAATGGAAGCTGTGTCCGTTTCTTTTGCCATAAACCAGCCCTCATTTATGTGCCTGAGAGGTAAACATGAATCTGTTGTGGTTTTTTTCAGACCGTGGAGCTTCAGCCCCCTAAATCCATAGTTGATGCTTATGTCCTGCTGAATCTTGGTGATTCTGTGACAACTGACCATATATCTCCTGCAGGGAATATAGCAAGGAACAGTCCAGCTGCCCGTTACTTAACTGGTCGAGGGTGAGTCTGTGAGAGAGGAATTCCTTTTGGACAAAGATGTCCTACTCTCTCTCTTTTCCATCATTGAGCTGTTTGGTTGTAGAATTCAATAATAATATCTAGAAGCCAGTTATTGGGTCTGTGCAACTACTCCCAGTGCTAAAGAGCTCTTAGATAAAGATGTTTTGTAACTGCTCTCATTTGTTGTATTAATTCTTGTGACTAGATCAGTGTTTTTCAACCTTAGCAACTGTAAGATATATGGACTTACCCACGTGGTTGGCTGGGAGTTGAAGTCCACATATCTTAAAGTTGCTAAGGTTGAGAAACCCTGGACTAGATCCCTGGTGTCTTTTTTTTTCAGCCTTAGACTCTAATCCTAACCTAGAAGAAAGTTCCTTTAATGAATATTAAAGAAATGCTGTCCGTGCACAAGGGCAAAGCAGATTTTCTGAATCGTTTTTGAAGCACATTCATAGCTATAACTATGCAATGTAGTCACCAATGTCCTAGACCAATGATAAACCAGAAAGGGAGCTGTATCACCTCAGTGTATCCTTTTGTGAAATGCATCTGAAAGCCCCAACTCAGGCATTTCTGCTTCTCTTTGAGTAAGAGGTGCTTCTGCCTGCTGAGCAGAAGTCATTCTACTAGCAGGTGCTCAGGGGAATTGCCCCAGAATCATAGGAAAATGTGAAAGAATACTTTTTGAACCATGATCCTTTTGCAAGCGTCCCATGACATGGGGATAAGTTAATGCAGCACATGTTGGAAGAGAATAACTTTTTGCCTTGTTTGCATGAGGTGTTTCTGAAATTCAGTTGTCTTCTGAATAATCTGACTCTGATGTATTGCAGAGGAGATATTCAGTATTACAGGTGTGTACAGGTAGTCCTCACTTAAAAACCACAGTAGGGACCGGAAAATTCATTGTTAAGTGAGGCATCACGTGACAACATCTGATTTTACAACTGTTTGTGCGGCAGTTGTTAGGTGAATCATTGTGGCCGTTAAGTGAATCATGTCATTAAGCAAATCATGCAGTCATTAAGCGAATCACATGGTTCCCCATTGATTTTGCTTGCTGGGAGCCAGCTGGGAAAGTTGCAAATGGTGATCACATGACCTTGGAACACTGCGATCATCATAAGTGAGAGCTGGTTACCAAGCGCCTGGATCATGATCATGTGACCACAGCAGGGGCGCTGCAACGGTCATGTGCAAGGACCAGTTGTAAGTAGCTGTTTTCAGTGCCAATGTAACTTCGAACAGTCGCTAAACAAATGGTTGTTAAGTGAAGATTACCTGTATTTGCCTATTTCCTTAGGATGTGCTTATTGTCTAGGCAAAAAATTAGCCCTTGTCTTTATCATATTTATAGAAATAGACAATTTCCCTGCAGTTGGGCAGTAAATGCCCTTGACATTTCAAACAATTCAATTGCTCAAAGTTTTTGTATGAATGCTGCTTAGATCTCTTCTAACATGCAGTTTGCAAGCAGGGTGGGATTTTCTTTTTACCATAATTCATTTTTGAATGCAATTTTTTCCTTAATATACACATTTTTGGTAGACTTTTTAATGAGTTGCAATTTATTAGGAAAACTGCAGACCTTTGGGTAGAACTGCATTCCAATTTACAGGTTCAGGAAATGAAAATTGGAAAAGTTCCTATTAAAATGTAGACTACACATATTAATGTCCTCAGTCTTTAATGTCCTCTGAATTTTATATTGCATAATTTGCTGATTTTCTACCAAGCCCTGAAACATCTTTCTTACTTACTCACCTGCTCCAATTATTTTTGTTTGCGTTAGGGGTCATTTAAGAATGTTTTGGAGAGTCTCAAAAGCATGTTCATTCTTGATCACTTTTTAGTGGACAGTCCTCAAACGCAGCATCCTAAAGACTTGGTTGGGATTGTGTCTCCTAGAATTATCAGCCAGCATAGTTGAAATTCTTGGAGTTGCATCTCAGCGAATCTGGAGGGCACCAGGTTGGAGAAAGATTTTTGTTTTTCCCCCCCTCCCCCTCCCTTCTTCAAACTTAGTATAGCTCTTCTGCCGATTAATCCTTTGAGGGAATACTGTACATCAAAGCTGTTTGAGAGGCTACTGTGTACCATGGTGGACCTTGCACTGAAAGAAGCTACATGCAAGGGGACCTTTTGCTTATCTACTAAACACTTTGGGGCTTTTGGATATTAAGACTTGGCTCTTTTGCATCTTGACAGCCTCACTCCTCGAGATTTCAACTCATATGGCTCACGCCGGGGCAATGATGCTGTCATGGCAAGAGGAACATTTGCAAACATACGCCTGTTGAACAAATTTCTTAAGAAGCAGGCCCCCCAGACCATCCACTTCCCATCTGATGAAACTGTAAGTATTTTCCCTCTTGGCATTAGGTTTGGCCCCATGACGATGTAGCTTTGACTTTCCTGCAGCTGCGGGACTGTGTCCTTTCAGGCAGGAGTTTGAATCTATGTATTTAGTGGGCTGCAAAGTATTCAAATAGCACAGTAATCTGGGGCTTTAGAGGCCCCTGTAGGTAAAACCATACATTTCCTTAGAAAAAAATATATGGTGTTTAGTTATTATGTTTCAGTAACCATGCATAACGTAGAGGCTGGTAAAAATTCTGTGTAGGTTTCCCCCTGACAGACATCCATGGTCCATGCACCAGCTCTGGAGGTACAGCCTCTAGAAACCTTGTTCAAGGTGATTTTGGATCTTCTGTTGTGAAAAGAAGGCAGTGGTGAATTTCTCAAGAGATGGCTTCTGCTTACATGCTTAGAAATTTATTTTGATGGTGGTTTATTTAGCCTTCCTGGCTGCCATGCTCCTCAGTCTGAGGAAGTCCAGCATGAGGAATTCCCTCTTGCTGGGCTTTCACTGAAGTGTGGGAAACCAGGATGGCTGCAGTCCCCTGCAGAGCTGAAAGACTAGGCATTCATCTATATCTCTTGGTCACCTTGATATTAAAGTGCAAGAATAAATACATATTCCTTGCTGTGAACATGCCTCTGCAGTTTGCTTCTCCTTTGGATGTCAATTCAGAAGCCAATTTTCTTTCATCGAATTGAGTAATATGTAAGAAAGAAAGGAAAAATGCCACTTTTTTCTCTACAGCATTAATTGTAGAGAGATAGGGATCATTAGTTTAATTTGGCAAACTATTGAGTGAGTTGCAGGGAAGGGGCAATTGTGCTTTTATTGTTCATTTTTTATATTTCATGCCTTTGTGTGAAATTCGTGGGTTAATTACAACAAGCATGGAAGGAAGGAATCACTTACTGGAGACGTTGCTTCACTAATTGAGGTCAATTGAATTTTGTGCTTATAGCTGGATGTGTTTGATGCTTCTGAGAGATACCAACAAGCTGGCCACCCACTCATCATATTGGCCGGTAAGGAATATGGCTCAGGAAGTTCCCGGGACTGGGCAGCAAAGGGGCCTTTCCTGCTGGTAAGTAGGTTATTTTAGGAAGAGTGAGCTTCATAACATGCTAGGTTTGGATGAACCAACTGAAAGAGTGGTGGCCAGAATTGGTCATAGCACTCCAAGTGGGCTCTGACTAATCCAGACTACAATGGAAGCCTTCCTCTGATTTTGAAACTAAACTTATTTAGATACCGCCTAAATTTGCATTTTTAGCAGCCATGTCATACTGCTGATTCATGTTCAGCTTAAAATCAGTTCAAATTTGAAAATCCTTTGCATAGATACTATCACCAAATCAGATATTCCCCATCATCAGTAGTACAACTTCTGAATGTATGTACTATTTGTTACTGAAGTTTAGTCCTGTTTAGACATTATGTCTGAACAGGACATAATACCAAAATTAAACAGCAGGGTTTAGCAACAGGACATTCAGGGATATCAGCGCATCTATTGCCCCCAAACCATATCTGCTCAGAGCCCAACAATATTGCGTATTATTTTGGATCAGATCACTGAAATCTTGCAAGATGTTATGATCATGCAAGATTCAAGGAATGATGCCTTGAAAGGGTGCCTAGGCCTGAAAATGTTAGGGGCCTCTGCGGTATAGAAATAATCTAGGGATTTCTACTCATATTCACTTAGAAAATTTGTTAAATCAGGATTCCCAGTTGCATGGAAGTTTTTGCTTCTATTGAAGCAAGTCTGACTAAAAACTCCACTGAATAGTTCTGTTAAGTTGAAAACTTTTTGGGTAGGGCCAGTAAGATGCAAGAGTGGTCATGTGTTTCCCAGGCTCCTCCATATATTATCATAGCTTATTTAACTATAATGCCCAAATTGAGCTTTTATTGCACACAGATCTCTTGTGTGCAATAAAAGCTTGAAAAGCCAAGGGAAAAAACACCAGCCAAAGTTTAACTAGCCAATTTGAATATTATCTTTTTGAAAACTCTTATTTTGAAACCTCTAAATAGTTTAGCAAACAAGCATTATTGATGCTTTTGACTTTTCCTTTATGTATTTAGATGTGCCATTTTCATTATGAGAGTCCATTTTGGCATTGAGAAACTGACATCTTTTTCTATATTATCAAAATCTTTGTCAGATGATTAGCTTTTGCTTTCAGTTAAGATATTAGATCATTGGAATGATTTATTCATTCCAAATGATCTAATATCCTAACTGAACACATTGGAATGATATATTCATTCAAATCATATGAAATGCAGACATGGTGTATTAGAGGACATAGAAGTGATTATTCCATGTACCCATGTTTTGACTCCCAGAGCTGGAGCATGGCTGCAATATTACCCAAACCAGGTATTTCATAAGCCTTCTTCAATAGGAATTCTGTTATTTCAACGATGGACTTTTCTAAGTGCCATGCAAATACTTTTCCAAGAAAACACTGAAATCAACCAGAATACACAAATTGGAATTGAAAATATACATGCACCTATAGCCTATTAAGCAGTTGATGACTGGCAATGACATGTCATGGGTAAAGCCAAAAAAACCCCAGAAAATTGGCTTTGCGACTTTGATATTGAAATTTGGAGAGGACTGATTTTCATTCCTTTTATTTCTTTCTCTTCTCTTATATTCCTATTCAACACTTCTAATGT